AATGGTTTTCATGTACTTTTTATTCTAGATTGTCAACTGCCAGTAGCCTGGTTATCTTTACCATATTTGTCACATCACATACTGTGAAAGTAGTTTAAGGCTTACAGGTAAAACACAGCTTGTGAAGAGAGCATATAACTTTCCCTTTCAAAACTGCCGTGCAATATGATTTTTAAATATTAATCTAAATATTGCTTCTCAGTTGTTTAAAATATAATTTAAAATGTGGATTCAAATTTGTAACCTTCATTTGTCAATTTTTCAGGGGTTGGCTGTGTAGTTGAACATGTCTTAATTTTTGTTAAACAAATAATGAATGTTTCTTGTGGACAGTTTTGAAAATAGAGGAAAGTATAGAAAAGAATAAACAGCTGTACTCCCACATATTGAACAATGTCAGGTGCATGACAGGCTCTCACATATTTGCTCAGTGAACGTAGAGACGGATACTGTTAATATCATTTGGGTATATACGTCTAGGATTTTTTATTTTTATTTTATTTATTTTTTGTGATGGAGTCTCACTCTCAAGTCGCCCAGGCTTGATTGAGTGCAGTGGCGTGATCTTGGCTCACTGCAGTCTCCGCTTCCTGGGTTCAAGCGATTCTCTTGCCTCAGCCTCCCAAGTAGCTGGGGCTACAGGTACCTGCTATCATGGCTGGCTAATTTTTGTATTTTTAGTAGAGACAGGGTTTCACCATGTTGGCCAGGCTGGTCTTGAACTCCTGACTTCAGGTGGTCTGCCAGCCTTGGCCTCCCAGAGTGTTGGCATTACAAGCATGAGCCACTCTGCCCTGCCTAGCATTTTTTAAATGAGTATTTGTCTTTTTTTTTTTTTTTTTTTTAGAAAATAGGAATCAGAACATGCAAATACAATGTAATTTCTTCTCTTTAAATTAAAAAAAATTTTGACATTTCTTATTTTTTGTTATTTGACATTTCTTTTGTTTGTTTTTGAGACAGAGTCTCGCTCTGTTGCTCAGGCTGGAGTGCAGTGGTGCGATCTCTGCTCACTACAGCCTCCACCTCCTGGGTTCAAGTGAGTCTCCTGACTCAGCCACCCGAGTAACTAGGATTACAGACGTATGCCACCACGCCCGACTCCGTTTTGTACTTTTGTGGAGATGGGGTTTTGCCATGTTGACCAGGCTAGTCTCGAACTCCTGACCTCAGGTGATCTGCCCGCCTTGGCTTCCCAAAGTGCTGGGATTGAAGGCATGAACCACCATGCCCTGCCTGTTATTTGACATTTCTTTTCATTATTATTATTATTATTTTTGTGATAGCTGGAAGATTTAAATTTGCCTGTGGCCTTTAGCAGGAGGGCAACCTCACTTTAGGCATGTCTGCTAAATGAAGCTGTATATAATTTTATTAGGTAATGGCTGCTGTGGATCCTCCTTAAATATGTGACCTTAACTCTGTACCTTTCTACATTACGATATCCGGAGTAGGGTCCTTTATTGCTACTGCCTACACCTAAGTTTAGAGACATTCTCACTCAGTCTGTCCAAGTGCATTCTTCTCTTCCTCCTTGTTTCTGTCTGATTTCTACCAAACTCATCTGCTTCTCCCTTTTTTCCCTACATGAACTCTTTGCTCCAGCCAAATGGTTTTCTCCAAATCCTGCATTTTCTTTTTCGTTCTCTTTCTTTTTTCTTTTTCTTTTTCTCTTTTTCTTTTTCCTTTTCTTTTCTTTTTTCTTTTCTTTTTCTTCGGCGCCTCACTCTGTCACCTAAACTGGAGTGCAGTGGCGTGATCTTGGCTCACTGCAACCTCTGCCTCCCTGGGTCCCGCTATTCTCCTGCCTCAGCCTCCCGAGTAGCTGGGACTATTGGCACGCACTACCATGCCCGGCTCATTTTTATATTTTTAGTGGAGATGGGGTTTCACCATGCTGGCCAGGCTGGTCTCAAACTCCTGACCTTGTGATCCGCCTTCCTCGGCCTCCCAAAGTGCTGGGATTACAGGCATGAACCACCACGCCTAGCCTGAATCCTGCATTTTCTGTTAACCTGTTTATGTTAGTAAAGTGTGAGATCTTGAGAGATAGTATTGTGGAAGTGTCACATAGCAGAGAAGCTTATTCAAGTTACAAGAGAATAGTTTGTTTTTCCAGTAAAGACTTATGATTGACATTTAAAACTTTTAGTGCTTATAAAACTAACTCCTTCCCTCTGCACCCTCCTTCCCCTAAAAAGAGAGAGAGAAGGAAAGCAAGAAAGAAATTAGTTGGCATATGCTTACTGTGACATTTGTCTTCTCTGTGGCAATTAAAACTTCAAAACATTCTTACAGGTCAGTTGTTCCTTGATTCTTTGGGTAATATGGCTAATGTGGCAAACTTGGTTTCATCATGCCTGCAGATTTTGATTATATTTCCTCCTCCTTTCATCACACCCTGCTCTCAACATTACCTAGTTGTATTAAATAGCTGTGGGGGGCGGTGGTCAGCCGTAATCCAGCTTTGGAGGCGAGGCGGGGATCAGAGGTCAGGAGACGAGACCATCCTGGCTAACCGTGAACCCGTCTCTACAAAATACAAAAAAATTAGCCTGGTGGCGCCTTAGTCCATACTCGAGGTGAGGAGAATGGTAACCGGAGCGAGCTTGCAGTGAGGAGATCGGCACTCACCTGGGCAGCGGACTATCAAAAAAAAAAAAAAAATAGGCTTGTTGTTGGGTGATCCACACTAATCATTTGACATAGTTAAGCTGGGCCACTTTGATAAGCCGTAGCACTGACCTTGACTTAACCAAATCAACTTGACATCTTGTAGCTTTAGGCCTTCTAAATATTAGTTTCTCTTCACAACCAGTCTAGCAGTGGAGCTTCCATTGTCATTCTTCATTCATTCATTATTGTATCTGCATATGAGGAAGCCACCAAGTTAATATTTTTTAAAAAGGCATGGACTCTGTTTTCAAGGACTTACTACCTACTTAGGGGTTAAAGTCACTAATAAGTCCTTGAGTAATAAAAACGTGATATAGACTGGATGGGGCAAGAACATACAGGTAGCATGGCACAGTGGGTAGCCTCTGGAGCCATTAAGATTGGAATTTAGATCCTGGTCCCTCAACTCAGTGGCCCTGTATCTTACCCATCCTGGAGCCTCCAGTTTTCCTCCTGGGAATTGAACAGGAGAGGTTTGGGGAGGATTTTCCCCATTTTGAGTTTCCTTTCCACTTCTTTGCAGCATTTAGTAAAGGACCGTGAAGACTAGGAAAGTCAGCCCAGAGCTTCCCGAAGGAGTGAAGACTGGAGCTAGACCTTGATAGCGGGCTAGGTCACATGAGAAGGGAAAAAGGCGTGGAAACAAGTCTGTAGAAAGAGCATTGAGAACATATGCAGGGAAGAGATTCCATGAAAACAGTGCATTAAAAAATGTGTGTTAGAAGGGGTAGAGTCTGGAATCTGAAAGATGGGCAAGAAGATTCTTAAAATCGAGACGTGAGATGAGAATATGAGTGAACATAGGAGCTCAGGCAGTGGCAGACAAAGGGCAGATACAAGGAGCATTTCCAAGGAAAAATCATGAGGATTTGATGGGTGAGACTGTAGAATGAAAGAAATTTTAAGGATTTAAGCTGGGTGATTACTGTGTCTGTCATGTATTCATTCATTCTTAGAATACTTAAATGGAAAACCTGCTGCTGCAGTGTTCTGTTCTAGGTATTGGGGATTAACCACTAAGTAAAACAGAAGCCCCTGCTCTTTTGAAACTTACTTTCTAGTGTTAATTATGTTAAAAAATTTAGTGTCAGCAGTTTTAGCATCTTGAGATGTCATCATCTAGCTCATGATTCTTTTATGATCTAAAAGTTAAATGGGAAATGTCGATGAAAGCGCATTGAGTGTCTTCATGAACTCAGTATACAGTATTTCTGTGTTTCAGAACTGTGAAGATAAGAATGAAACTGTTAAACTGAAAATACTGAATTTCACAGGTCAAAGAAAGTGGTAATACTCTAGATATGGTATTAATAGTTCACCTTATAATTAATAAATTTCAGGGAATATCATGAAGTGTGGAACACCTAGGGAATTGTTGAATTGTAAAAGGCTCCTTTTGTGGACTTTGGTTAGGTTAAAATTAGGTTCATTTAAAAACCAGGAGGAAGTAGTTAGGTTGAATAAGACTTTAATCCTTGATGGCTTTTGTTCATATGAGTTTTGTCAGCTTATTTCTGAAGTAGTGCTATGATGTTTGAGTGTTCAAACTGAGTTTTCTTCAATTCTTTAAGATAAAATAATTTATTAGTAGATAATTCCTTGACAGAAAATGTTGACATAAGAAATAAAGAAGTTTGAAATTTAGAATACAGTTTTCCATGTTATTTTGAAAGCTTGAATTGGAAGAACATTATCTAATTAAAATTATGATGCATTTAAATATTCATTTGGTTTAGAAAACTTCCTGCCTTTCATTTAATAGACCTAGTTGTATTTCATAGCATTTTAATGATAACCACAACTAGTCAGCTGTAACAATAGAATATAAAGATTATACGTAATTTTTTTTTTGGGGGGTGGTATGGAGTCTAGCTCTGTCACCCAAGCTGGAGTGCAGTGGCATGATCTCGCGCAAGCTCTGCCTCCTGGGTTCCCGCCATTCTCCTGCCTCAGCCTCCCGAGTAGCTGGGACTACAGGCGCCCGCCACCACGCCCAGCTAATTTTTTGTATTTTTAGTAGAGACGGGGTTTCACCGTGTTAGCCAGGATGGTCTCGATCTCCTGACCTCGTGATCTGCCCGCCTCGGCCTCCCAAAATGCTGGGATTACAGGTGTGAGCCCCGCGTCCGGCCAAAGATTATGTGTAATTCTTAAGGAAGTCAATAAAGGGATTTAGACCTAATAGGACTCATAAATTTTTTTGCGTTTAAAAATATTCTTAAGAAATGATCAGGATTCTAAACTGCTTTAAATATATTACCTCTCAGGATCTGAATTTCTTTTTCTTAAGGATAATTTTATGTTTTTTTTTCAATTTTCTTCAGGTAAAAGTGCAGTTTTAAAGTGTCTCTTGGATATTCACAAAATTTTTCAGGAAAACGACCCAGCATACATACTGAATGATCTCTACATCTCAGACTACTGTGTGTGGATTCAGAAAGTCAAGTAAGTTTTCATAGAGTTACTTATGAATTTTTAGATGCTCACATTGCTGACATATCTATTTACCCAGGAGGAAGAAAACGAAATCACCTGAGGACTAAGGTTTATTTATTTATTTATTTATTTTTTTGAGATAGAGGTTTGCCCTTGTCACCCAGGCTGGAGTGCATTGGTGCGATCTCGGCTCACTGCAACCTCTGTCTCCCAAGTTAAAGTGATTCTTGTGCCTCTGCCTCCTTAGTAGCTGGGATTACAGGCCATGCCACCACTCTCGGCTAATTTTTTTATTTTTATTAGAGATGGGGTTTCACCACGTTGGCCAGGCTGGTCTCGAACTCATGACCTCAGGTGATCTGCCCGCCTTGACCTCCCAAGTGCTGGGATTACAGGTGAGAGCCGCCGTGCCTGGTCAGGAATAAGTTTTAATGAGAAGGGAACCCATAGACCTACCAAACACTAAAAAGTAACTGGATTAACATGGGAAGCTTGATGAATGTTCTTAGGGAAGAAGGTACAGATGGTGAAAAGTTAATTTTATTAGAAAAAATTGGTATTGGTATATCTTGGAAAACAGGTATTAAAACAGTTGTGATATTTATTGCCTTGCTGTTGACTGTCCAGTATGAAATCTCAAGACTGAGTATCTGAACTTGTATCTATAGTTCACTTACAGTAGAGTGTGTGTGTAGATGTATGTGCCTTCATGTTTGTGTGTGCAAACATTTTAGTATGCAAACCACATCAAATGAATCCAGATGAGAGCTCTGCATTCATTGGCTAGCCACTGGCTTACCACCTGCAGAGCCTAATGGCATGATTCTTGATAACGCATGTATGGAAGGGTCCGAACACTCACAGATGGGCTCCAGCACTCGGTGTATAAACATTTTTAAAAGTGTTTACCATTGCGTCAAAGAAACATAATAGATTAACTATTAAATTTTGAAATGCAGTGAATATTTATTTATTTATTTATTTGAGACGGAGTCTCACTCTCACCCAGGCAGGAGTGCAGTGGCGCGATCTCGGCTCACTGCAAGCTCCGCCTCCCAGGTTCAAGCGATTCTCCTGCCTCAGCCTCCTGAGTAGCTGGGATTACAGGCGTGTGCCACCATGCCTGGATGCCTGGCTAATTTTTTGTATTTTTTAGTAGAGACAGGGTTTCACTGTGTTAGCCAGGATGATCTCAATCTCCTGACCTCATAATCCACCCACCTCGGCCTCCCAAAGTGCTGGGATTACAGGTGTGAGCCACCGCGCCCGGCCAGTGAATTTTCATTTTGTAAAGTTCTGTAGATCTGATTCTTAGTAAACAGGGCGAAATTCCATTTCAGTAGCAAGAGGCTGTTAATTAAGAACCTATAAATGGGCCAGGCATGTTGGCTCATGCCTGTGATCCCAGCACTTTGGGAGGCCGAGGTGGGAGGATTGCTTGAGTTCAGGAGTTCAAGACCAGTCTGGGCAACATAGTGAGATCCTGTCTGTATTAAAAAAACAAAACAAAAACCTATGAAGGGAACTCTTAATTGGAATGACTCCTAGGTGCTATAGAAAATGATAGCTACAATGTCAATTGTGACTTAGAAGAAAAATGATCTGGATATTTTTGCTACTGCCATGATTGATAAATAAATGCTTTAGTGTGGATTTTAATATCTGTTTTGAATGAGCCATTATATGGGATTTATTTTTTATTTCTCTTCATGGGAAAGCAATTATATTGCAGAATGAAATATGAAAAAACTTGAAGCTATACCCGTTGTACAGAAAATGCTTAGGGATTGCTCAAGATAATGCCTAATAACATACAGCAGGTGGTGTCAGCATTCGTGTTGGAAATCTAGATTTCGCCAGATGGAAAATTGAATCTTTAACCCCTGAGGTCATAATGGCATGTCACCACTTCATTTGATCCTCCTGCTAATTGAGCTTATCAAATACCCTGCTGCCGTTTCCTGTTGTTACTTTCATTTTCATAATAAAATTAAATGGGGATAGTCTATCTGTGTGGGTTTTGGTTTTTCTTCTTCTTTCTTTTTTTTTTTAAGGAGTGACGATTTTGTAAACATGTAATGAATATTGAGGTTTGTGCAAGGATCCCATTTCTATGAGTGCCTGTTTCTCTCTCTGTGATATTCTTTATTAACTAGAGAGAAGATTGTTTTTCATTAAAGTAGAAAGATATAGGCTCTCAAGTAGAGTAGGGATTATCGACTGACTTTGAAAAAACTTTTTCTCTTGGTTTTACGTTGTGGGACATGAAGCGAAATTCTTAGGTTGTTTGTAATCGTTGTGCTAATAATAATTTTTTAAAAAGGGATAATGTATTGGGGAGTGAGGTAGGAGAAACCAGCAGGATCTCTTCAAATTACTTTGCAAAAGTGGTTTTTACAACTTTGCCAATTTGAACATAACTTTCTTTTCCCTAAACAGGTGTGTTGCTTTCAGTTTGTATGTTAAATTTAACTGTAGCCCAGCTGTTTTTTTCTCTTTTGAAATAAAACATTTGTTTATCTAATTTTTATAAAAATTTCTAGTTTCATTCTTAATTTTACAAGCACAACATGATTGAGCTTTCTAGTGTTTCCTTTACTGTGAACTTCTTAGGTCTAAATAATTCTATTGCAGTGTAGATCCATGATTTTCATAAGTAATTTTTTCCTCACTTTTACCTTCTGGTTTATTTCTTCTCCATATAGTTTATCAGTGAAATCTAGCACCTTATTTTTATGTTTGAAAAGAGCTGTGTATTTTTCTTAGTTTAGTTTGATGTTCTTGATTATAATGATAAAAACTATGTAAGGTTTTGTTTGAAATACCAGGTAAGTGATAAATTCTGACTAGCACAAATACAGCATTCCATTTTTACAGTCAGATACATGCTTTGGCAAAAACCTATGGAAACATAGGTAGCAAAGTCATTCTTACTTTGAATTAATGAAGTTATAGCAACATCTATTATTACTTCTGCTTTTGTACTACGTTTCCCTATGGTTTCTGTGTCTTGTAGTGCGTATTTGCAAAGCTGAAAAACTGAAGCTCCTGGCCTCTCATTCTGAGTTAGAGACTTTACGAATTGTTTTTCTGAAAAGAATGCTCCCTCCCACCCTTCACTATAAGCTTCACTGGAAGTTTCGAGTGTGGTGCTCACTACAGGAAATGTTCTCTGGTTGGCAGCCTTAGAAAGTGATTTGTTTGAGATTATATGTCTTATAAGAGATAGGTCAGGTCTTCTGGTTCCAGATTTCATATTTTTCAAGATACGCCACGTATGCAACCAGTCGTCTCCACCCATAGCATGTGGAAGAAAAAAGATGAAAGCCCTTTCTTCAGAGAGATTTTCCTAAAGGAAAGGTAATGAATGAAACGTCTGTCTTTCTCGTGGATGTTTCCGTAGCACTTGGTTGAGAGATCACTGGACACCTCTCATGCCTGCCTTATATTGTAGGAATCTAGATGCGTAACTCTTTCCCCTCTAAAATACTAAGGTCTTTGTGAATGAGCACCTATCTGGGCCCATCACAGTTTGTGAGCACAATCAGTTTTACTCAAATGGAATGATACCTGTTAGACCGGATTAAAGGAACATTTTTCATTTTTTTTAAAATGTAGGACTTTAAAAATATAAATCAATTCTAACTTATTTTTATTGATATTTCAGCTACATATACAAGTTCCCCGATTCTTTGCTGGTTGGCTGCCATCAGTAGCAGTGATAGTTCTGACCCTCTGAAAGTTTAACAGTTCCATGGGTATCCAACCCTTTGGCTTCCATGGGCCACACTGGAAGAATTGTCTTGGGCCACACATAAAATGCACTTAATACTAACGATAGCATGGACCAAAAAAAGGTCCATGCATAATTTTTGTGATATCCACCACTGCAGATAAGCAAAAAAGTCATTTCATTCAAAGAGTTGGCACCTTTTTATATAAGTTGGGTTAGAAAATAATGAACTGTAATACATTCCAGCTCTACTTCTCATTGACCGTATGACCTTAGCAAGTCACTTTGTCACTTAATCTAATTCAACCAGTATTAGTATCTTGATATTTCCTCTATTTGTTTCCTAATGCATTTTTAAACCAGTGGAAACAATATTGTACATACCATTCTGTAGACTGTTTTATACTCATGATAATACCCTATAAACCATTTCCCTTTATAACATCCATTACAGAGTTTTTTTTTTAAGTAACTAATTTATTCATCATTATAAAAAGAGTACATATATGCTCACTGAGAAAATTTCACATTAAAACTATGGTTTTAATACATAGCACATTTTGAAATGACAGGGGATCAAGAAGGGTATTCTTTTGTTTTTGCTACATGGAAAAATGTTGTTGTTTTTAAATGAAACTAAAATCTAAAATCCTGACTCTTATCAGTACAAATGTGAACTTGTAATTAAGATGTTAAATCACACTTTTTCTCTGTAGTATAGTTTTTTTAAGTAGGTAGTTATGGGGAAAAAGAAAAAAGTGTTTTTGAAATGCTAAACTCTCTTTGCATTAAACTGATTAATGGTTAATTAACTCTAATACTCAGTGCAATTCACTTTTTGCCTGAAATCTTATGGTCTTTTGGACACTAATGTGGGAAGTTTGTAGAGGGAAACAGCTATATCACAAAATAGTTATCTGTCATTGGATAAATCGTGAACCTCAGTTTCCTCAGTTGTAAGCGAACCTAAGTCAATTCAGCACTGAAGTTCTAAAATTGTGGAAAACTTAAGACCTTACGATTACTTTAGATTGCTTGAGTTGCTTTCTATGTGCGTGTGCTTTTGAAGGGGATAGGATTATGCTAAGAACAGGATAGATAACATACATCTCTTCCTTTTGGCTGTCTGTTGTTCCTGGTTGATCTGCCAAAATTAGGGAGTCAGAGACTCATATGCAGAGGTACAACATCAGAATTGCATCTAAAAGTGGAGTCATGTATTTTTTTCAAACAGTAGTTATTGAGTTCTATTATGCGCCAGGTGGTGAGATAGGTG